ACAGGTGCGCCAATTGAAGTTTCAGTTATTGCATTTTTCGAAGTTTAACTGTTTTTTTCTCTTAAAAAGCTTAATAATTGTTGGATTTTCCCCATGTCAATATGTATTTATCTAAAATTAGTTCACGAACATAAAAAATAAATTTAGAAAATACCATTCAACTTAACAATTATTAAATTACTCAAACGAATAATAAAATTAAATATAAGATCAAATAATTCACATTAAAAAATAATAAATATAATACTACTTAATTTCTTACCTTTAAATATTATCACTCAATTGAATTTAGATCACTTTAGTAAATTTCAGACAATCGTAGTTGAAGAGACTTAATTTTATTGTGGAGCTTATGGGGTTTTTTCACAATATTGTATGTTGGAAATACTAAAACTTTATTCCATAATTTCCATTTATATTGATTTTGAAAAAACACAATCCCTATACAATTGCACTACAAATTTTTGATGACTCCTATTAGCATGGTTTTCAGAACCAGACCGGTTAGCGAACCGGCTATGCTACCGGTTCACTGGTTCAACCGGTCGAACCGGTCCGATCGGTCGGAAAAACCAAACGATGTCATAATTATTTAAAAAATTAAATAAAAATACCAAAAAATATTTAATAAAAAAATAATTTTTTATATCACAAGTCATATTCAAAGCAAGTCATAACATATATAAGTTAAAAACCATAAAATTAAGTAAAACAAAAATGATTCAAATTAACTACAACATAATATTTAAGGTAAAATATATTAAATAATAAATATAATTATATAACTATAATTAAAAAATAAATTTGGGGCTAAAAAAATCATAACAAAATGATATTGTTTGGTTTACTTTTTTTTTAAAACAATCTCACATGGCTAAGAAACATAGAAGAGTATCCCAAAAGTCTAACGAGTAAAAATATGAGAACAAAACAATCCTACATGACTAAGAAACATAGAAGAGCATCCCAACTAAATTCTATAAATAATAGAGGTAATTTGACATTCAAAATCATGGAGCCTTTTGGTGAGCATTGAGTGAACTATTCTTTCACTTCAATCAAGCTCAAATTTTAGGCTTCAATCGAGCTTCTAATTTTTTTTTTTGAGTTCAAGCCTTTTCGAGTTCAAGTTTCAATATTATATTTCGAGTTTGAGTTGAACTTGATAATTTTTAGCTCGTGAGTTTTGAGTCGAGTTGAGCTTACTTTTAAAGTTTTCAAGTTCGAGTCGATCTCAGCAATACTCGAGTTTGACTTGGCTCGTTTAACAAACGACGTCGTTTGATTTAATTTTATTTAAAAAAAAAACAAAATTGGTTGTTTTTTTCCGATTTTTCCCGGTTTTTTCTGGTTTTCAGCCAGTCCGGTTTGAACGGTTCAGCGGTTCCGGCCGGTTCACTAGTAATGGTTCAACCGGTATAGATTGAACCAGACTAGACAACGATTTCCGGTTGAACCGGCCAGTCCAGTTCGATTTTCAAAACACTGCCTATTAGGGTAAGAAAAAAAATTAAAATTTGCAGCAGGGTTCGGGGCCCCAAGGGCCCTCCGTCTCGGGGGATGAAGTTACAATGCCGAGCTATTTTATGTTGTCTATTTTCATATTGGTTATATATACATACGAATTTTAAAGAATTTAAATATAAATTTTTAAATATACATCTATTAAATGATTAAAGATATGGCACACATATGTCTATGCCATTTTTGTTGTCAGACTTGTATTTATGATTAAAGAATTTTTAATTCATTATTTTTATTTTGATCATCCATTATATATAATGGCGACGTGATAAGTTTATTGAAAAAATATTTTTAATGGTCCCATATTAATAGGTCTCATGTGGGTTATTATTATAATATATTTTCAGAACTCATCACGTCAACGTACCCATATAAAGTTTTTTTTTTAATTAAAAAAATCAAAACTTCGTCACCCAAAGATGATGAGTTACCTTAGAATTTAAAATGAAGTAGTCGTTGGTAAGAGACAACTTATGAATTTTAAAAAATTTAATTGTTCAAACCCGTCACGTCAACGCGAATTGTTTCGTCGAAATTAATTTATAAACAATAAGTTTAAAAATGGTTTAATACAAAATAATATATTAAAAAATAATAATAAATTTTATTACAACTAATACAATGCATAATAAAAATGTATTTATATTTTTATAATTTTTGATGATGCCGAGAAGGGGTCAAATGATAATGGTGTGAGGCACGTCGATTAAGTCTTAGTCGTCTGCCTTGATCATCTTCATCTTCGTTTGCTTCTTCAACAGGAGGTGTATTGATCATCAATCCACTTTAAGATACACCTTCGAAATACGGTGATGGAGTACTTAAGGTATTTAACGCAATCATTGCTGTCATTGACTCAAATTGACTATCTAAATTAGTACCTTGTTGTTAACCATATATAATATGATCCTATTCACCCACATATTATGTCAAAGATGCCCGAGTACTTTGCATTGCATCTCATGAACCTCTAACCCAATTCGACCGACTCTTCATTGAAGCATGATATGGAGGATAAAAACCATAACTGGTCTGAGATGCAAAATACTCAATAAACGCAGAAGTAGAAGCAGAAGACGAAAATGTCGATGATAATTCTTTCTTACCCTTTATGAATTTGGCATTCATTTCTTCCCATTGTTGTTCCCTCTTTGCCGATGTTGTTAAATATAGTTTCCCATTTGTTTCATAGTTTCGGAGGTAGGGAGAAATATTGAGATCAAGATCAACAACTGTAATTTTGAAATGCATAGGGTAGATAAATGTTGCTTATTCCATTGTTGAATGTGTACAACATGTTTCCTCGACCAATTCTCTTTATACTTTTCACGCGTATCAATTCTATGGAGCACATCCATATCAAATATTTGGGTAGGAATTGGTTGATGGGACACAAACTGTCTTAACACTCTATATGCTGAGTGCACCTTAACAAACGCAAAGTAAAGCATAGTTGTAATGACACACCACAACTCCGAGCTTTGAAAAACTCTCGGTGACAGTACCGATAAATCTCATCATCACAATACATAATCTAAGAAAGCTGTAAACATTAATTATAAAAGGTAATATAAATATAAAAAAATAGTAAATTAAAAAAAATTATAAATAAATAAAATTTAGTAAATTAATAAAATAATATTTATCGCATGTCGAGCAGCGATATCAATCCTCATTCGTATATCATTTTTATTTTCACCTGACAACTCGGTCTCGATAATTTTATGCCGCCATCTAAATAATATAATAAATAAAAATTAAAAAAATTACTAACAAAATAAAGTTAAAAAAATACATTCCATCCAGAGAAAACTCAATGGGGATACTGTAATTGACGTAAAAAACGGAAACCAGTACCACGCCTTATACTGTAGCAAGACTAGACAACTCGCAACATCAAATTTTTGACCCTTTCGACTATTGTAGCCTTGCAAATTTCTCGTTATAAAAATGTCAGAATGGTCGAGCCCCAACTAGTGTTACGATACTCAGTAAAATTATTAAATATCGATAGAGTCATAGTCACATTAAATTCAGATTGCAACCAAGTTATCCATATTCGGTACTCGTCTAAGACCTCTGGTGGTGACATCTTTCCTAAAACTATCTGAACAATAGCGAATCAGTTGAAATCGTTGTGCCTCACTAGTGGCACACCATTGACTGAAACACCGTGTTGGTAAGCGACATCTTCCAACGCAATCATCGCTTCACCACTCGAAAAATAGAAAGTATGCGTTTCGGGCCTCCAACATTCAATCGGCGCTGAAATTAATGTCGGGTTCATCTTAAAACCACACAGAAATGTGACAAGATACAAGGGTGTTCAAAAATACCCGACCCGGTTGACTCGGCCCGTCGACCCGAACCTAAAAAATTGGGTATTTTCTAAAACAAATTACCCGACCATGTCGGGTACTAGACACGTGATTTTTTTGGGTAGTTAGGTTGGGTCTGGGCCAAAATTTTTCATAACCGGGGACTTGACCCGACTTGATAGTTTATATATATATATATATATATATAACTTAAATTATATTTTCATTTTAGTTTATTAATATTTTTACCTTAAAATGAAATTTAAATCCTTAAATTTTTCTTAGATTTATATTATGTACTTTTAAGATTTAAAATTTTAAATGAAATTTTTATTGATTTGTGAGTATGAGATTCGAAAAAGATCAAGATCGATATTAATTTTTTTTAATATTTTCTTTTAGAAATAAACTTTAATTATATATATCCAAATATGTATCCTTAAAATAACTTCAAATCACTAATTTTTGTGTGTGTGGATTATGTATTATGAACTTTTAAAATTTTATATATTTCTTATGTGATTTTTTAATAAAATTAAATAAAAAAATATAAGAACTGGATACCCGTGACCCGAAAATACAGATATCCGAATTTTGCATGTACTAGACTATCGAGTACCCAGGCTTAACGGGTCGGGTCACATGACGAAAAATATACTACCCGAAGAATCAGGTACTCGGTACTTCGGGTATCCGAAAATGCGGGTACCTGGTTTTGATCACCCCTACTAGATACAATCTAGATTGTTGTAGACATATAATAAAAATCTATTTTTTTAAATTTCAAGGTAACTCATGACGTAACAAGTTCTAAGATTTTTTTCTTTCATTTTTTAGCTTTTAAATTATTTATCGAATTAAAAAAAATTACTTTCTATGAGATTTATCATGTTGACGTAATAAGTTTATATAAACATATTATAATATTAACTCACATAAACCTTAAAAACATGAGAGTATTAAAAATAATTTTTAAACTCGTCACATTAAACTAGCGAATTTATATTAAAGTGGTCTATTGGATCAATTAATTTTACCCCCTGACATAATTGAACCCCCGCCCCCATTTTTTATAATTGAATTCAGCCCAATAACTTGATGTTCGATAGATTTGTTAACCGACCCGAATAAAAGGGGTTAAGTCCTAAAACCGTTCATTTGAAGTTTTGAAACAAGAGGAAGGAAAGCAAAGAAAACAATGGCGGAAGACACGTTGTATGTTCAACTGCACAAGCTTTCATCTGTAAAATCGGAGGAAATTATGGACCAAATTCTCACTGCACTTTGGAATACCCGACGCTCCGGTCTTCGCCCGCCCGACAAGTCTCGCTTCCAATCTTTCCTCTTACTCCCCGACCTCGACCCCGTAATTTCCCTTCCCACTTTCTCTGCAACCAAACACGCCTCTTTCAATTATCCTCCCTCCCCACCCCCTTTAGCATGGTTACTTCGTTTCAGTCTAAAACCTTGAAACTTGAAAGTCTAAGTCATTGAAAAGATTACGCCTTTTCATATGTTTTTTTGCCATTTACATGTTCAAAAATTGCTAAAAACAAAATTAGTATTTGTTCAGAAATAAGTGAGCTGCGGGCACTTATTTTTTGTCATGTTTGTAGTGATAACTGTTAAATGAATAATGAGGTGTAGTAAAATGTGATGAATAGGTGTTGGCATGCCTTCGATTGCTTATCAGGAAATCCGTACACGAAAATTACAATGGCGATGATCTTTTGAAGCTATTTCCGCCTGATTTGTCACTTGATTTGCAAAGTCTTCTGGTTCTATCGTTGCAGAAATGTCAGAGTAAATGGAGGGAAGAATTAGCAAAAGAACAGGCAAGCAACAACTTCTTTCAAAATTGTTCCAAGAATAATGATATATGTGCCTGTTTATCTCTATGCTAATGTGCATTGGTGATATGGGTGTTGTTATTTTTACAAACATTGCATGTTAAGTAGCTTATAATTGTGATTCAAATTAAATCCAGTGCCTTCCATTTAATATGAATTGTTGACATACAAGTTGATTCATTAGTTTCGAGTTACTTTTACTCACAGCTGTGTTATTCAGAGCTCTTTGCAAGCTGCAAAGAGTATTGCACCTTGAGGATGTTTGTAATAATTATTCATAACAAATTCAAAACCTTTTACTTAATGCATTACATTTGCACAAACGCAAAAATATTTAGAATGTTGCAATTTGAAAAGGTGGGAGTGAAATTTTATAGCAGAGCCTTGTTATGTAAATATAATATACTCTGATTAATAGTTTAGACTGTTTACGGCATCTATCAAAAGCTGGTTTTGCTAGGTAATTTAATGGCTATTCTTCTCTTTTTTCACCTTAACTCTCATCATATATATATTCTTTTGTTTGTAATGCATTATATTCATCTTGTCCAGCATCCACATTCATTGCCAAGGACCAGTGTTTCCTATCAGATAATGGCAAACACCCCACCATCGTTCACAGCTTTTCCATCTTCCGATATTCCGACATCCTTCTTGTGGCCTTGTCAACATGATCATAGTTCCCGCATTAACCTTGGTGATTTTGGGGCTTCACCAATCATTGCTGATGCGCCTGGTTTTCACCTGGCTCCCTTGTCAATGCAACAGGATGCTGATCCTCCAGGCAATCTGGTATAATATTAATTCTTATTTGTTCATTACTTTCTTTTTCAATTAATACAAGCATTATCAGTTAATTTCATATCATTTCATGTACATGTACTCTTCAACTAATCATCTCCATTTGCCAGCTACCATTTGGATTGCTGTGCCTTTCTTTACAACGATGAAATTTATGCAGCACCTTTTCCCCACATTACCATTAATCCTTCAGTAGTCTAAATCAATCACATACTTCGTATTACAATTTATCTGTGTTAGGGAAAGGAGTTTGGTGTTATTTTCTTTAGTTAAAGGTATATTTTTCTCATTCTTGAAAAGGTGGAAGTTCTGACTCCCGTACACACATGAATCATAAGGATGCTATTTCTTTTGATATGGCAGCTGGTCCGACTTTCCTACTTGGGTTTAATTCTTCACTGAGATTTAATTAGCATTTTTGGGATACATATTATCATCTTGCTGCCATTTTAAACTAAGCTCTTGGATTTCTTAAGCCCAAATATTGCAAGTGAATATGCTATTGTACTTAATATTAATTTATGGCTCATTTTATGTTGTTAATGTTTCTTGATATGACCTCCTTATATTGGTTATAGGAAGTTTTACCCTGCCTTAAATCAATGACATGGACCATGGATAATCTCAACTCAGTGCCAGCCAATGGAGTAACTATTATCCATCTTAAGGTATGTGATCAATATGGAAGCTGCAATCCTGACTGCATCATTGTGAATTTTCTGATATCCCGAATGAACTTATTTGTAAAATGTCATCAAGACAAAGACATCTATTCTTCCAGTATCCTATGTGCTATAACTTCCAGTGGAAGAATAACAAGAGTTATTAGAGAATTAATGATGCTTACACACTAACAACACCGGGAATATTGACAAAATAAGTTTCTTGAAGTTGTTCTGACCAGATAGAAAAATGATCTGGAGTCTATCCTCCGTAGTGTTTTTCTATACCTCTCCTTTCAGATACTCCACAAAATATAAGGGGAAAAAATTGTATTGTGGTTCTTCTTAGCTTTCCTTGTTCCCAAATCCCTATTACTCATCAGCTTTAGGGCAACATAAAGTGTCAGCTGATGCTTTAAAGGCAGGCATAAAAGTCAAATTGACATATTAACACCAGATGGTGCCCAATTAAGAGGTCCCTTAGGCAGATAGGCATTGATTTTATTGATTGGGAGTATTTAGATTCTTGCATGAATGTTCCATTCCGACTTTAGATATAATAGTACACAATGGAGGAAATAATATTAGTTAACAAATGCTTTTCACTGATTGTTACCATCACTTCCTTTGAAATTGTTTGATCCATAGTAATTGACCTATTGCTCATTTACTTCATCAAATTGCTTGGGCTCCCTTAGTAACGGCTCTGGTCTTACATTTTGTTTTGGGAATATTTTGTCGCCGAGCCTGATAGACTGAGAATCTTGTGTTGTATATACCATTCGCATGACCTCTTTGCTATGATTGTTGGAGACGGTAAATTTAAAACACCGTCGTTTTCTTTTTTAACTTTTGGCCAAGAAAGATATGAGTAAAATACTGTTTATTACAAATCAAATCCTCTAAATGTCGGTTATTTTTTAGTAAGGTCATCCAACACAACACTGCAAAGCCTTTTCTTCTAATGGGAAATCCAATGCCACAATCATGTTTCTCATCCATTTAAGTGTGTAAATTCTTAACTGTGGTTAATGACTTTTATTTCTTTTCTCGTACATGTTAGCAGCTTCGAGATTATACCAAGTCTCCTTCAGATGAGATAGAAGTGAAATTTCAGCTGACTAAAGACACACTTGAAGCTATGTTGAGATCATTGACTTACATCAGTGAACAACTTTCAAACATGGTAAGAGTGCCTTTTGGTATCTTGTTATGGATATAAACATTATGGTCATTAAAAAGAGTTTTGAGAAATAGGAACTCGATTTTTGGGTGTTCAAGGTGTGAGTGCCATTGCATACTACCTCTCATGCTTTTGGTCTTGAATATTTCAGCTACCCCTAGTCATGTAGTATACAACCGTGCTTTTGTATCTTATATTTGGAATCTTGAATTCTCTTTCATTTCCGTCGTTTAGTCTTATCGGCATATGCTCGAGGAACATTACTCCTAGCTTGTTTTTTTGTCTTTTATTTGGCAGGCTGGGACTTCCTCAGAGCCGGCACAGAAAAAGCAAAAGCAATAGAATATACGGCCTTAATTTGTTTCTTCTCTCTTTCTTTTTTGTACTGACATTATATATAGATTCAAACCTGTAAGTGATCACATTATAGATTGAATGAACTCATATGCATGATTTGAATTGGCTTTGACTTCATTCATTATTGTGATGATGGTCTGATTTCTGTCTTACAAAATATCTTTAAGTGGTGATGTATGGACTGATATATCCTCCAATAGTGTTTCCCCTGCATGTTTGTTTACTAGTTTTAGTTGCCAATGTCCGGACTTCAAAATCCAGAAACATTGTTGGTTTTTTTTTATGTCAAATTTACTTTCAGACATAATTAGGGATGGCAAACGGGTATAATTTCGTGGATTTCGTACCGTACCCGCTCCAATTGGGGCGGGGATGAATATAACTTTAGTGGGTAGAGGACGGGTGTGGATTTAGAAAGTGGTACCCGTCGCGGGTAGTGGGCGGGTGATTGGTTTGAGATCTTACCCGCCCCGCATCCGACCGCCCACTAAATACCCATTAAATTTTGGACCATTATAAATTTAGGTATAATGTTATAGACTAATTTATAAATCTTAGTATTGTATAAGATATAACTTATAATTTATGTACTTTAAGATCTATGTTAACACTTAATTCAGATAATCATTGGTTTATTTTATTATGTTTCTTAATGGACGTGTTTGTTTTATGTTTGTTGCTTATGTATAACTTAAGGGTGCTGTCAGGCGGGTATAGTCGGGTACGTCTCCAGTTGGGTAGTGAGTGTGGGGATGGATTTGAGAATGTACCTGCGTGGACGTGTATGGATTTGAAAAATTTTACCCATCATGGGTGGTGGGCGGGTGGTGAATTTGAAAATATTAGGTGGGTATGAAGATGGGGGAGGGGTATCCGCACCCGACCCTCTCGTTTGCCATCCCTAGACATAATGTCTTGCAAACATAATTACATATGTATAAGAGTAGAGTAAAAATTTCTTGTAGCGGGGCCGACCATACCAATTAAAAAAGGGGTAAAGTCCCCTGACTATAGGATGTTGCTTTGCGAATCTTCTGACTATTAAAAATTATAAAATGATCATTCGACTATAGAATATTGTTTTGTTGAGTCCTTCAACTATTAAAAGTTATAAAATGGTCACCCGACTATTTGTATGTTCAAATTTGTCCATTTTCATAAAAAAAATTGATGATCGCCTGAATTGAGCGTTAATATATTGATTAAGATATGTTAAATTTTGATCTCAGATCTGTTTGTATTGTATATCATTTGAAATTCTATGATCATATTTTATTATATCTCAATCAACATATTAATGTCCAGTTCAGGCTATTGTCAAAATTTTAATAGAAAAAATGATGAGTTTAAAACATATGAATAGCGGGTCACAATTTTGTTACTTTTAATAGTAAGGGGTTCAACAATGCAGGGCACAATAGTTGGGAGATCATTTTATAAGTTTTTATAGTAGGAAGACTTAACAATGGAAACTGTTATAGTTGGGGATCATTATTGTCTTAATCGTTTTATACCCATTATTAAAAAAAGTTCAAATATTTGCTGTCTTATATTCATCTTTAAAAAAATCTTCAATGAGAACGGATTTATTTAGAATCAATGAAACGGTTTAACTTTTACCGTCCTTAAATTGTTATAATAATTCGGTTTTAACGCTAAATTTATTTATTAAAAAATTAATTATTAATTGTAGCAAAATTTCCGCATATAAAAGACTAACATATTGTAATCATCTCCGAAATCCATAGATGATCCAATGAAATTTAATCCTAGAATTCTACAAATTGTCTCATACTGAATCGGCAATGCAAGGTATCGTTTTCCTTACAAAAACAATTAAAAAAAGAGGAGGTTTTAACTTTAATCTCCAACGTTTTTGAGACCAACAATTCGCTGCAACATTATAAATACTTACTCCCCACCCATGATTTTCGACAATTAAAGCAACGAAAGCTTAAACCAAATGGGAGTTCATCGTTCATTACTTGTTTTTGCAATTGCTGCTTTGATGGCTCCGTCGATATCAATGGCTACGGAATTCGTAGTGGGCGATGATCAAGGCTGGGGTTTAGGAATCGATTACGATGCATGGGCTCAAGGCAAACAATTCTTTGTTGGAGACAACCTCGGTCTACTTTTCTATCCAAAATTATTTATAATAATTTTTTTCCGAATAGTATAAAATGATTACAATGTAATAAATATTTAAATTCTTTTTAATCGGTTAACAATGCATACACACCATGCAGATACATGTGCATGGTGTGTAGTGTGTTATATTTATTCTAAGGTTTTAACATATTTAATAGGATTGATGTTGTGTTTTGCATAGACATTGACGTAGGAATACTAGACATATTTTTGTTCTATAAATTTACTTGTGGGTAAAAGACTCAATTTTATATTCTTTTTGTTGTTGTTGCAGTTTTCAAATACAAGGCTGGATATCACAACGTGTACAAAGTGACCGGAGATGAATTCCAAGACTGCACTGTTCCATCAAGCAATAGCTCCGGCTCATTCTCCGGGAACGACAAAATCAAATTGGCGACCGCCGGGAATAAATGGTACATTTGCGGCGTCAACGGCCATTGCCAGTCAGGACAAAAGCTTACGATCACGGTGCTACAGGGTGCTGCCCCAGCTCCAGCTCCAGCTCCAGCTCCAGTAGCTCCTGGTCCTGCTTCAAGTTTTCAAGCGGCTGATTTCGAGATCCTTTTAGGATGATCTTCGACATTGCCGATACAGTCGTATTTAATTAACTAGAACAATAACCGATTTTGAATTGGAATTATGATTGTTCCTTATTTCTCTTATCATAAATGCTTAACATTTTGAACGTTTGAGTAAATAAAAGTTATTTCTATTATTTAATTTAAGATAAATCTCAAACTATCTATGAACTTAATCTAATACGAGGATTTGGTATAATTATGTATATAAAATTTTAATTTTTATTCAATTTATACATTAGTACACCATTTGAAAATACAATACTGAATGGAATAATTTATTACCAAATGTATGCGTAGAACATTTGGTAAGCACATCATCTGATCATGTGCCAATACTACTCAGTACAGTACCTGTGGAAAGCCCCTGGTTTATAGACAATGCCCAGCAGATTTTGGGTAAAAGGCGAGAAATGTGAAGTTGTCGTTGACCAAACATGGAAGGCATTGCTGGACAAAGAATTGAACAGTCGAATCTAATAGACACGAAACCATAACTTTCATAAAGGAGAGGCCAAAATGAATTTCTAAATGTTTGGGAACTAAAATACAGGTTTGTCATTGAACTAATATATTATTACACAATTTTTTTTTGGCACAATTGGATGTTCCTTATGATCCTCTAAAGCGTCTTAGCAAAACTTTTGGGCAATTGGTTCTTTAATAGGAGAAACATCCAACTCTCAACTCGATAAAGAGTGTTATAACGATTTTAACCTTTTCCAAACATTTTTAATATTCTAGTCAAACACGCGACTCTCCAATTCCTCGCTGAATGAAAAAGTCATCATGACAGGGTTCAAATTCACAATTTTCATTTCTAATTCGGGTTCAGGTCAACACCAGTTTAGACTCGAATTGATTTTGTATAACCACCACCTCGGGTTACAAACAATTTTAACTTCAGTCAGTTTCAGTCAGTTTTACAGATCGGTTCAACTTTTTACATTCCAATGAACCACCTCAATCCTGAAAATATATTTAAGAAGACCAAGATCTTTCTTTAAATGTAACACCCCTTACACGTCTATTCGTGAACTAAATAAAAAAATGTCACATTAATTATTCGGAACTATGTCTAACTAGAATTCGAATAAAATTAGATATTCATACTTATTCAATCATAAATGTGAACTTATAAGCAAACATTAGAAGTTAAGAAATCAAATCACAAACTCCAAAGACGCTCTCTCGTCCACTTTGCTGATCCTCTGACACTACCCTTGTCCAAGGTGAATTCGTAGGAAGAAGAATCTTGATGAGTGGAGCGTGTGTAGCCGTTCCTTTTGTTTTTTGTCGGTAGTTCATCTGTTCATGCGAGTTTTGTAGGTCGAATAAGCATTTGCCGATCGAGAATGGCCATGAGGTGCATTTTTAGGAGAAGACTTGAGAACGAAGATGATTGCTTTGATTTTTTTAGGGATATCGAATGATTTTGTCGATCATAAATTATGTTTATGTTCATTGCATAAATTGTTGATGGTAACAAGTTTGGCTTGTCGTCCATAATAGTTCACCTTTCTAATTTTGATAAAAAATTATGTCGGTGAGAGAAAAACCGTGAATCGATGTTTTTATATTAGAGAGAATCGGTCATGAAAGATGAAGAAGACGATATGTAGGTTGAGAAAGATTATAACCTGTTTTCGAGTCTTGATTAAAGGTATTTATAGTGACATTTAGTGTGTGTAAACTATAGAATCACTATGACTATTTGTATACTTACATATTAGATAAATTTAATTACAACACTTTAAATTTTATCTTGATAAATCACATGAAGTTATTAGAAGTTTTCTCTACTTGTTTATGCGGTACCGTAGTTAACTTAGAGATCAGTGCTCGGGGGACGCAAGCTTTTGAAAACTTCAATAAACAAAAATGTTTGTACGAAGACCAATACTATTGATGAAGTGTTGACATACCCTAGTGTGGAGGAGGCTTAGAGGTTTTTGGATAACGTTTCCATATATAAAAAATAATTAACATTTTTTATTAAAAATTTAACATATAATATTTTATTTTTTACGTTACATCATTAAGAATTAAAAGTATTAAAATTATAAAATAGTTGATTTTAACGTTTTAGTAAAAACAATTGAATTAGCTTTTCAAAATTTTGATAATATGGTAGAAAATATTAATATATAATTTTCAAGTTGATATATGCCAAAATCTTATAGTACCACATCAAGACAACAATTCAAATTCAAGAATCAAATCGGGAAAATTATCAAGTTAGGGGACAAATATGGTCAAAAAAAGAAAGCTCAGGTACCAAAATAGTAAGTGGCATATCATCCAACGGTCGCTTAGGTCAGCTTAGCAAACAATCATCCAACGGTCGAAATCAAACCTCAGCCGCTTCTATTTTATCTGTCCGTCACACACCCTTTTCTCCTCTTCTCCACACCTCTCCCTCTCTTATTCTCGCATTCTCAAGGATAGCTTTCTTCTCCCATGGCTACGCTCCTCAAAACGCTCCCGTTTAAGTCTCCTCCTCTAATTCCACGTGGTGCTACCTTAAACTCTTCAAAGCCCTTCCATGTCTGCTTCAAACAAAGACTTCCTCGTTCGAGCCGTCCCCTCCGGTTCAGCTTCACTCCCTCTCTTCGGTTCGTGAAATTGGTTCCTTTTGCTGGTGAAACCGAAACTACTGATACCCAAGAAGTTCAAGAACCCCAAATTGAGGTAACATACAATGGTTTCAAGTTCCTTTTTTTTTAATTGTTTAGTTTTTCCGGGTGGAATTTTTTTTCCTAGTTCATACTTTTATATTAACCTTTTTCTTGTTTAGTTGACATAAATATATATGGGTTTCGTAAATTAACTTTGAATCTTGCTAGAAATGGGAAAAAAGATGGGTACTTTGATAATGTGTAGAATTTATCTATATCAAGGAATTTTCTTGTCGACAATCTTCTGTTCTTTGTAGCTTTGTCTATTGGATATGCTTTACTCACTAACTTTATCAATTATGATACTTATTTTTTCAACATTTACTATTTAATCGAGCTGTCCGATCCATTGTTCGACACATTGTTTAAATCGACATAGGGTATAGCTTTCTATGATTATGAGTGTTTAGCGGGATTTTAAATGGAAGCCAATCAAATTATTTGAAAAAAAAATACATGGAGGAGCAAATGCACAATTTTTGTGAATTGAATTTGGAGAATCAGTGAAGCCTAGCAATGAACTAGGAGGCTGTTTTCTTTTGGGCCATGGAGACGAGGTCAAGCTGAAACTAATGAGGATTTGTTTGAAGAAGGGAATTGGGACTTGAGTTTCGAATGCATTGATCTTTGTAAGAATTATTGCACCGTTGCTTGGCAGGTTATAACCCGAATTTACAGAGGCAAACTTTATAATTGGTTCTATGTTATCCATCTTGAAAGTGAAACTTGGTTTAATAGAATTTTATAGCCAAATCTGGTGGTTGGCTCCTTTTTAGAGATGAATGTAACCTGGCTTCAGTTATTTGAGCCATAATGTCACAACTGAACTTTGATTTATTAATCACCTACTTCAAAGTTGCCTATGCATATCTATAAAAACGACTTCCAGCTTTGAGTGCTTTGATGAAAAAGCTGTTTATCTTGTCCTTCATATATCAATGTCACTTTGCTGTGACAATCTCTTTATTTCCTGCAAATTTAGATTGCGATGTTTTGAAGTGTTAATTAATCTTTAATCTTTAGTTTTCTCTTCCTTTTTCTGGACTTTATATTTACTTGCTTATGTTCGGTAGAGTCTAGATACTTCTATTTTATGTCTAAAAAAGTTTAAGTCTTAGTGATTACTTTTCTTCCACATAAATATAAATATAATTAAGGTAATTGAGTTGAAATACTATTCACTTAGTGAGAACCAACTCAGCCCCTAAGCAGCCTACTGTCATTGTAGGCGATCCGTTGCAAGATACTATAAAAGTGGGTTGTAATTTTTAAGATCTTACAATTGATGTTAACAATCCGTCTTGTTTATCAATCACGATACATCTTTACACATCGTGCAAGTTTGCAAATATCAATTCTGCTGTATACAATTACTGGTTTTAACGATTTTTTATATCTGAAGTTGTATATTAAGCCAATAAACAACTTTAAGATCTTCTAAGGTTGCTTCTTGTTATACATTTCATTTGGTATGTTTTAGACTGCTGGTATGTTCCATATGTGAAATAAGATGTTATCACAATTTTCTGTAGAAGCCTTGAATGATGGAAAAGGAGTATTGTTACTCAAATAGATTACTACTATAACTTAACCACTCATCTTTTCTACTCAAAAATTTTCTTTACATAGATATTCTTTTTATTGCAATGTCAGACATTTGTGGCTGCTTTTTTCATCCTCATGGATAATATGTAACAGGACTCCTCAGATGGTGCTGTCGCTGCTGAAGACGCTGCTTCTGCAGATGAGAGTAGTGATGCTGGAGAAATATCTTCTTCAGCCATTTCATCATTACTCCAATCATACAAAGAAGCTTTGGCAAGTAATGATGAGTCAAAAGTTGCTGACATAGAAGCATCTTTAAAATCCGTTGAAGATGAGAAAGTTGATCTTGAAAAGAAAATGACTTTTCTGTTAGAAGAATTGTCAGCGGAGAAGGAAAGGGTTCTTAGGATTAGTGCGGACTTTGACAACTTTCGCAAGAGGACCGAGAGAGAGCGCCATTCATTAGTATCAAATGCCCAAGGAGAGGTTTTGGAAAATTTGTTGCCTGTTTTGGATAATTTTGAGAGAGCTAAAGCCCAAATTAAGGTCGAGACAGAGGGAGAAGAGAAGATCAATAATAGCTATCAGAGCATATACAAGCAGTTCATGGAGATTTTGGGTTCACTCGGTGTTGAACCTGTGGACACGGTGGGAAATCCTTTTGATCCAATGGTGAGTTAACACTTATTACTCCTTCCTGTCCCAGTTTTCATTCACATGATAAATAATGATTTGTCGCATAATTTGTGTTTAAGCCTCCTTCAAATTTTCAGTTACCTTGTTCTTGTCCTCATCGTCAATGAGTTGGGGAGGCAGTTCGTGAACAAATTGCTTTAACGCCTCTAGTACATGATGCATT